AGTGTTCCCCATAGAAATAAATTGAAATGCTCAATCGGTTCCGGACCCCCAAAAAACACAACTATTTTTTGTTACATGTTTTTTTTATCAGTAAACTCGTTATGAATAACAAACTGAATAAAAATACATAACAGAATGTATTTTCTGCAATGAACTACAGTAGTTTTAAGTACACTGCAAAAGGTACAGCTTCAATATGGTGAAGATCTTAGCTTACTTTTCTAGCATCACACTTTATGTAGTTTCATGAACTTGCTGTTGTAACCAAGGTCATCAGAAGACTTGGGAATAATAACGTCCGGCAGATGATATTAGTCACCGTTATTATACATTTATATGAAGACACCGTCAATGTCTGACTGTCGGACGTCTTCAGTTGTCATTTCTGCTTCTCTTAAAGAACTCCTGGTTACATTTCAAAATAAAAGCAACATCAGTCGGTAGAAGATTTTATTTTAGATATTTACAAATGGGGAGAACTAAATGTTTGATTTTAGTGATACGTTGCAGTTTGATTAAAAAAAACAATCATTTTTGTCTGCTAAAGTCAAAAGTGCAAGAAAAACAAAAGAGAAGAACCAACCTTTTCACAAAACAGTAAATACAACTAGTAAATCTGTGTTTACTTTTGAGAAACGGCTACTTTAAGTCTGCAGAGAATTCTCTCATTTTGTGGGCTGAAGTCAAAATTTCAAGATCCTTTTCAGAGTAATTAACCCCATCCAAATGTCTTTGAATCAGCCAGAATCACAAAGCCCAGAGCAGGGTACATTTTCCAGTATGATATGAAACTTTTTTCCGTAATCATACATTTTACCTGATTTAATGCAGCCTTTCTCAGGGTAGAGTCATGGATTGGTTTGATTACTTTTCTTTTCTCTTTCTTTTTAAATTTCATTATATATATTTGTTTGTTTAATCTATACTGCTGAAATTAAGCATTGTGCTGTGTCCCTGTTTATTCAATAAAAGCCACCAAAAGCATTTTAAGAGATCGTGGACATTCAATTATTGTTTCATGATAATGCCAAAAGTTAATCATTGGTAATAAAAATGTAAGGTGCTTGATTCATAAAATGTGGAGGTTTAAATAGGTTGCCTTAGCCAAACAGAAACAATTGTTACAGAAACAATACCCTAGAGGCTTACTCCAAGCCGCTGAAGGTTTAAATTAGTCCTTAAAAAGCGCACATTGTCGTTCTGAGAGAAAGCTGCAGGAACTGGTGGAATCTACTGTAAGGGTTACACAGTAGGATTGAGGCAGAGGGGTAAGACGCTCATATGAACGCAGTTGTGTTTAGCCTAATCTGTCTCTAAAATCAGCTTAAACAGATCTTGCAGAAGCTGCTGAGGTAATGCCCCTCAGAATTTGTAAGCTCCGGAATTGAAGAATGAAGACCTGAGATTGGGTAAAGTGAGAGTGGGTTTCTTATTTTTTATTCCTTTTTAATTATTACAATATATCTTATTAAATAAAAAGTAGGCACATGTTGGTATTTTATTTTCCACATTCATTGTGCTATTTTTCACAATATGTGGGTGGTCTAGGTATGTCACCTTTTGTGAATTCTGGGGGTTCACTGTATCGTGAATTTATTACTGTCCAGAATCAAGACTTCAGTCCTGTCCTACAATTTTATGTCTGCCTATTAGACTCCTGTGTTCTTCAGATTTATTAATTTACTTCAAAATACAAACTCTCAAGAAAATTCATCTTTTTCGTGCATGAAACATTTTTCTGTGTAAGTATAAACCTGGATAAACCCAAAAAGGTCAAAAGCTACCAGACCAAGACGTACTGTAGAATATTTTCACTCATAACTGTCCACAATAATTTACTAATCGTCACAAAGGATGTAAACGTACAGAAAACGTCTTGTTTACTGTTATAGAACATTTTGTGTGTGTTCGTGTGCGCGTGTATGTTTGTGTGTGTGTGTGTGTATGTGTTCCCGCTGTCTTGTTTGGTCCATGGAGGTTTAACCCTAAATGTCCTTGTTTTAGATGCTCAGCTGTCCCAACAACCTCAAGAAATCTAAGGGCACCAGAAGATCTAAAAGAAGTAAGTTTTCTTATTTGTTCACATTGTGTATTTTAAACGCGAACATAACTACCGACCAGAAGGAAGATGTTGAGTAGCTGTACATGCTGGATGGAGTTTATCAGAACTGTCATGGTTAGGAACACTGAGGTGACAGAACAGCTGCTTGTTGGGTGGGAGATGCATCAAAATTGCGCTGTGGTATTTTATATCTTTTAAATATCTCTTGGTCTTTGTCTTTAGATTTTCAGAGGCTAAAAGTAAGACTCACTGCAGGTTTTAATGCACAATTCAGATTGTTTTTCTAATTAAATTAGAGCACCACAAAAAAAAAGGATTGGAAAACTGGACGTTTTGAAAATAAGTCATCCCACTGTATTTTGTAGCGCCACACCTTTTAGCTCTACGATGCTCGCTTCAATTTTGTAAACTGCTGTCTTTGTGGGACAATGCTGGTTCTGTGAACAGTCATAGGCTGGCTAAAGGTGGACTGGTGTTGTGAAAGTGCCTGTGCTTCCACTTAGCTGAGATGAATTCTCAGCTGTTGAAGGATTGTAACTGTTCAGACAGCAGCTGTCACTGAAAGTTGCTAATTACCACAYGGAGTTTCTGTGGAGTAATGCTGTATTCCAGTTGTACTCATAGGTTGACGTCTTTCACCTTAGAGTTGGAAAATTTAACTAGAATGGCCCCTAATGTCATAATATATTAAGAAGGTTAAGATATGCTTTAATGCTGGTTATACACCCAAAATGGCATGTAGTAGAGAGCTATTGTTGTATTTTTTGTTTTGTAAAGTATGTTTATTTTACTAATGCATTGTTCCCCATGTTCACTTTTCTTTTTTTATCACTTCAGTAGAAAAAAGAACAATATTAGTTTCTTAATTTCTTCATCATCAGTGATTTAATATATAAATATAGAGGAAAGGGG